AAGTCAGATCACCATTCCCAACCCTCGTTTTTCATGGACATGAATGGTTAACATAAACAGTCACTTGCTACAATAGGGGCAAAGAGGGAAAGCTTCCCCTTCACCTTGTGAATGTTCGTTACAAATGAACTGACAAAAGGCAGATCCACAGGAGAAAAAGGCGTAGCAGGCAGGAAAATGATTACCCAACAATCCAATGGGGTGCCTATGCTTATTTGCCCTTCTTCATAAGGGAAAGGGAGATGGGAGGTGTAAGAGTAAACAATTTTTAGGGGTAATGAATGGACCCAATGCTCAGACTGTGATTAGTAAATTCTCTTTGGGAATTGAATGAGACCAGAGAACAATGGTTTGGGACAAAGTTTGTCTGGGCTCTAGGTATGGTGTTTAATTTTCAGTCTCTTCCTTGGTGATATGAGTTTTAATCTTCTCTGGTTAATGAAGTTTTAGGGAAGGGTTGAAAGCAGTTATGCTCCTCTTTGGGGTTCCGGTTTCTAGGTAGAAGAAGGAACGTCAGAGAACAGCTTCATCCTGTGCTTTGCAGTGACGGGATTGAGAGGGGAGACCTTGAGGATGCTTCATTATTTCCATTATATGGGGGTATCATTTTCTGAACCCCAACACTATGTATATCAATAAAGTTTAATGTTCAAATTAATATAATGCTTGTTTATGGCATGTCTTCCCAATCAAGAGGATAAATCATTTTGTTGTTGTTTTAGTCAGATGTTTTTCTTAATTTGCAACTCTTTCCCACTTATAGCCCATTTTGAGGCTAGCCCATTTTGCAAAGAAAAGGGGAAAGCACTGAATCTTTACTAGATCATGAGACCAAGCAGATAAAACTGTAACTCTACCAGGCAGCTTCTTCTAATTCCTGAGTGTAAAGTAGAGCAGGGAGGGGTGGGTAAATGCAGCAGGAAGAGTCAAATATGATTTAATCATGGGCACAAAGGGAGGCCCCCCTCCCTTTCTTACTTATGCCAAACAACCAGGGTCATCATTAATGTAGAGCTCTCCAGTAAGGAATCTATTACAATAACTGTATTTCCTTCCTCCACCACCAATAAAAGAACGCTGAGCGAAGAGTTGTCTTCTCCGAAGGTCTGTAAGATAAAGAGGTCCTTTTTGGCATGTTTGGACATAATTCTTTCTGGCAAAATGAGCAGGCAGGGACTTCACTTCCAAGCTCAACTCTAGTGGCCCCATTCAGTCTCCTACCACACAGGCCCCTCCTGGCCAGGGCTGGTTTAGGATGGCAGATTGAGGCTGACTTGACTTTCAAGAATAGACAGGTTTAACTTGGAAAGGACTGTAAATCTGATCACTTGTTCTTTGCAGATCAGAGTGACAAGAATAGCGTAATGATGAATCAGGAAGTTTTGACACTGCAAGAAATGCTTAACAGCCTCGACTTCAAGAGAAAGGTTAGTGAAGAATTTTCATTTGGACTTTTGCTCATTTTTCTCCTTTTCCTAAACCCAGTCCTACTGAAAGGTATCAAGCTCTTAGATTTTATCAGTTCCATTTACACTGAGTGAATAAACGGCCATGTTTCTAGGAAGAGTCCCACACTCTTTGCCACGCTTCCCTTCATGAGTTTCCAAAGCTGGATCTCTCTAAAGCCTATTTATCCTGTTTATGCGACACATTTGCTATAGCTAACATTAATTTCAAGATGGACATTTTCCCTAATTTTTATTTGTCACTATTTCAGACATGGCTGTTTTAGTTGTTGTA